TTATTAGACTTTAAAAAATAACTTCTAATTTAAGTGAACTTAAAACAATCTTCACATAAACCCATTATAATAAATGTCATATTTACCTGTGCCCTTCAGCAGAAATATACAGAAATTTAAATGATCAAACACTAATAGACTAATAGACATCACAGCAGCTGGTTATTATGTTATTTTGGCTGTTATTTCTTTAAGAGCTGCCGCTGCTGAACGGTGACGTGGATCTGACAAGCATCATATTTTCTCTCAACTCTCTTTACCTTTTCTGACCCACTTCAGGTCTTAAAGTCTCTATTAATGAGCTGACGAGTTAAATCGGGTGTGTTCGATGAGCGAGACAGTGCTGGGCTGCTCCAGGACAGTTTTGAAAACCATTTCAGAGACAAATGCATATATATATATATATATATATTAAGGATATTCATTTTCGATTAGTAAAACATTACATTTACTGCCTTATTAAATTATTAGTGTTTTTAAAGATTACATTTAATTAATGTTAGATGGCAAAGGTAATCCAAATATAACCCATATATTTTATATAATATAATATAACAATATATAACAAATATCTACTTGTACAGATTAAAAATCTCTATTACTGGCTAACAAATATAGTACCAATATATCATACATCACTACTTAGCAAGCACCACTAAAAATAAACACCCAAGTATAGAATAATGTTATATGAATTAACAACAATACAGAAACACGTTCCAAGGTAATTCTTCTCCAAGACATAACAGTTGCATAGAGTCGAAAAGGAAAACGCATTAAACTGTATGAGATTTAGAAAACAGATGACGTTGCTTAATCTGTGTTTAATCATTTTGGCCAGGTTTCCACCAGCGTGGTGCAGAAAAATCCTCTTACTGCATTTAATTTGATGTACTGCATGCTATATGTAAGATCAGTGCATGGTGCATGTGTTTTTGTTTTAATGCACTGCACGATAATGTGTGTGCGTGACTGTGCATGGGTATGTCTCTATTCAACCTTCTATCCTCTCATACCTTGACAACTGACAAATGTAAACTCCTAAACGCTCAGATTAAAGGTATTATTCCAGCGCGGGAACCGACCAGCTTTTTCCATTAGGCTTTCTAGTCATTTGAGCAAAGGAGTGAGCGAAAGACAGAAAGAGAGCTATAGAAACAGAACCTTGTTACAGATTCCAAATCAGATTACACACTGGCAGACCTCATCAAATATTCATTTTATACTTTCAGCCCTCCTAAAAACAGGCTTCAGTTTCTCTCTCACTCCACCAAGTGTTGTATTTAGAGGAGCGGGAGTTTGATGGTGTCTAGATAGCTTCAGGGAGGGTCATGTAGAGTGTGTGGGGTGTTTGTGTGAGAAAGAGAAATTAATAATGTAACCGATCTGAACGCTGGATTTCTGTTATGTGGTCTATAACGCTGCAGTACAGTTTGTGATACACAGACACATAAAGGAGGAGGTGCCTCAGGCTACAAAACAGCCATTAGAGTCAATGGCCTGATGACGGTCGTCATTTTAGAGCACTGCAGTGTGGAGAGCTTGTAATAACGCTATTAAAGAAATCCCACAAAACAGAGAAAGAGAGCGAGGAATGGAAGAGAAAAGCAGTTATTACCTCTACCAAATGAGCCAATAGAGAGAAATCAATGAGCAAAAATGGCTCCGCTCCAAAATCTAGTGAGCTGCCTCAGTGCTCCAGATGTTTAGCTTATCAACATGCTAACATCAAACTCAATTAAAATCAATTGCGAGTTGATTCCCCATGAAGGGGTTAGGATGATTTTAGGTGAAAAAAGGGGGTCAGTGAGCGAGAGAGAGAAACAGGTTGAGAAAAAAAGAGCTGGATATTATTTAAAAGTGATGGAGGAATGAGAAAAGAGGAGGAACTAACAGTGAGTAAGCAGGACAGGAAAAAGAGATGAAGCACTGATTCAGGGATATACACACACTACAATTCAAAAAGAGTTTTTACTGTTTTGGGAGTTTTGCAGTCAAGGCTGCATTTATTTGATCAAAGATACAGTAAAACAGTAATACTGTCAAATATGATTTAAATGTTACACTAGCAAATGTTTTTCTGAGCAGCAAATCAGAATATTAGAATCATTTTACATAGTAAAAATATTTCACAATATTACTGCTTTTGCTGTATTTCTGATCAAATAAACGCAGGCTTGGTGAGCAGAAGAGAATTCTTTAAAAAACAAAAAATCTTACAGTTCAGAAAATTTTGACTGGTAGTGTACGACTATGTCAAATATTATTTAAATTAATTGTTTTCTATGTTAATACATTTTAAAATGTAATTTATTCTCGTGATGATCCTTCAGAAATCATTATAGTATGCTGATTTGGTGCTCAAGAAACACTTGTTATTAATGTTGGAATCAATTGAAACCATGATATATATATATATAAAAAAAATATATATATATATTTTTTTTTTCAGGATTTGATGAATAGAAAGTTCCAGCATTTATTTCAAATAGAAGTATTTTACATTATATAATGTAAAAGTATGTAATGTATATAATGTAATGTTTACATTATAAATGTCACTTCTGATTAATTTAATGTATCCTTGCTGAAAAAAAATTTATTTCTTTCAAAAATCAAATTCTAACACACCCTAAGCTTCTTAAAGGTAATATAGAGAAAATGTATTTCTTGCCCATGCAAAACTCACTATCACAATTCTAGGGTGTCGTGGATGGTTGTCAGGATGTTACTAAGGTGTTTTGAGCATTTTTAGCATGTTCCTATGCAGTTGCTAAGGTGTTGCTATATGGTTACTTATTGATTCAAGTCCATATATACATGAATATCTCAGATCCTACCTTCCCCGCAACAAGCCACAATGTTATTACAAATCTGTGTTTGTAGAACAAACAGTTCGGGGCAGGTTACATGGCAAAGTTTAATAATGTAGGGTTAGTATGAGCAATAGCTACTGTAATAAGCCTTAACAGACTAATAACAAGCCTTAGCAAACAGCACTAAATGAAAAGACAGAAAGAGAGATATACCCAGACGCAGGCATTGTCTCAGGATTCCTCCAGAAGACATGTTCTTCTCTGCTTCAATTTCAGTGAAGTTGAGTGAACTGGCGAAGATCAGCACGTCCACGAGATTGATCAGCCTCTGCAAGAACATCAGTGACGCCTCCACAGCCAAACCCTGAGACGGCTCAATGTTCTCCAGCTCATGCTGCAAGACAGTGCCATCATCATCATCATTACTGTAACTACAGCCTTCATAATCAGCACCATCTTCACTCAAATCTTCATAATGCACTGATGGTCACCTTTATCCTCACCCTCACTTTTCATTATCATAGCTATTGTACTCAAATTACTCACAAGAATATAAATGATGATCATTAAGACTCTCTTCTGTCTAATGAGATCTGTGTTAATTTAGTGTGTACACTCTAACGCAGCATGAGTTAAGTGTTCTCTCAGACTTGACTGAAATGATCCCTTATGTGAATGGCATGGAAAACCATCAAGATTGCTCGGCTTATGCAAAATCTGCATGCTTTTTTTTTTTTTTTTAAGACATGTAACTGTGTCTGCAACCCATTTTACTTTTGTAATGTGGACTTTTGTAACAGGAAATTCAATGAGAAACAAATATGCTGGCTGGGGTATTATTTTATCTACCAGAAATAGAGTCGTTCCGTACAGGAACGGATCTGAATGCAAATGTGGAGGCCATTCCCCTCCTGAAACACTACTGGTTGAAACTTAAGCAGCTTTCGTGATGTTGCATGAAAAGTTATTTCAGAGGCAGAGTAAGTTACTAAATTTTTATAAAAATGGCAATACTTGTTTGTTGTTGTTTCATATTAATGCACTATATTATAACGCTATATTTCATATTAACTATACACAATAAAACCTGAAAGGTGTATTAAATTAAAAAAAGAGGGCACTGCATTTTTTGGAAGATTAACGCATAATCAAATTAGTCAAAATATCAAATAACCTAAACTAATAACTAATAGAATTTCATAATGACAAGAACACTGCTGAAATCTGTTGATGTCTCCTAGTAAACACTGCCAAACTTACAGTATGTCCAATCAATAACGGAGGAAGTGTGGACAAATTCAATTAACCTAACTGTCCTTTAGTGTGACTGAAACACATCAGTGGCAGGGGAAATGCATTGCATCACACCACAGCACTTCAGGCACGAAAGCGAACTTTCCAAATCCATCTGTCCTATTGTCAGGAGTGGCACAAGTGGATGGAGTAAGTCAGATAGAGAACGGGTGCTTCCATTTACTGTCAGCAACTTAAAGTTTTGAGCCATCCTGATGCATCCCATGTAGACAGCATGGCTGATTGTAATAGGTTCTGTTTGCTTTTGACGCAATGCGACGCGAAGATCGCTTCAGGTGTAGACAGGCTGTCGGAAACGCATACTAACCGAAGAAGAGGTGGCTGCAGACAGCAAAGGAAGGATTCCTCCACAGGCCATGATGAGGTTGTCCACCACCTGAGAGACTAGATGGACAGTGTTGTGCACAAACATCACGTTCTCACTGCTGTTCACAAAGTCCATAACTGTCTTAGTCGAATGACTGCGGGGAGAAGTGAGAAAAATAGTTATGAAATTATGAAAGAAATTATGAAACTTAATGCAACATGACAGAGAACTGTCTGTGAGGCAGCAGAAGGGTAATTCAAGGTAATCAACATTCTTGTGTTTTACTTTTAATTACAGTCTGAAATATATTTTTATTTATAATGCACATTTCCCAAGCTCTATGTCACTGAATAAGACCATAATATTGTAATTCAGTATACTTATCAGGTTAATACCTAACGACAGCATCTGTCGATTAGCCCAAAATATTTCTACTCATCCCTTAAGTTATTTCACACGTGAAATTTCGGGACAGTTTCACAGACAGAAAATGTCCATTGTCTACAGTCTGTAGTGTAGCAAGGTATAAAGCATGCACTGTATGAGATTCTGATGGTCAAATTCACAGAACCATCTCGAACCTGATGCAAATTAGTGTGGTGATTTTTTTTTTTTTTGATCAATATTGATTTTAACAAGAAGAACATATGTGACCCTGGACCACAAAACCAGTCATAAGGGTACATTTTTTTAAATTGAGATTTATACATCATCTGAAAGCTGAACAAATAAGCTTTCCATTGATGTATGGTTTGTCAGGAAAGGACAACTATTTGAAAATCTGGAATCTGAGGGTGCAAAAAAATCAAAATATTGAGAAAATCGCCTTTAAAGTTGTCCAAATGAAGTTCTTAGCAATGCATATTACTAATCAAAAATTAAGTTTTAATATATTTACTGTAGGAAATTTACAAAATATCTTCATGGAACATGATTTTTACTTAATATTCTAATGATTTTTGGCATAAGAGAAAAATCTATAATTTTGACCCATACAATGAAATTTTGGCTATTGCTACAAATAAACCCCAGCGACTTAAGACTGCTTTTGTGCTCCAGGGTCACATATACAGATATTTTATCCCTTTGCCTATTTGACCTTCTTTGGTTCTCTGTGTTTCTCTTACCTTCTCCACATCTGCACATCGGTCTCGATGGAGAACAGCAGGTCGGTCAAAAGACGCTGGTGCATATGAGACCACTTGAACTCTGGGATACGGAACATGGTGGACCGTGCCGAAGACGAGCCCTCATTGCCCTGAGCTGAGGGGCTTGAGGCAGTTGCCTGATTTGGGCTCAGGTTCTGCAAAAGAGGCATGTGTTATTCTAATATTTGTTTTGTGTTACCTTATGAGAAAGTCATTTTCTTGCCTCATGAAGTTTAATCAATAAATTTAGTGAATTACTGGTATCAAGTTAATCTGTTGTTAATATTGCAAAACTTACTGTTGTTGAGGCGTCCTTCAGCTCCAGTCTCTCTGTGTCTGAGGCCACACTTGACACATCCAGTCTAGCAATTTTAATCTCTTTGGTTTTAGTTGCTAAGGTCTCGGTCCCTGCTGTCTTCAGAGTGTCTTGGTTAGTTCCTGGATCCTGTGAGACACTCTCAGTGCTAGGGCTAGCTGTAGACGCTGTAGTCTCTGTGTGAAGCTTGGTCTCATCGGTGGAGGTGCTTTGGTTTAAATCCACCTCCATCATGGCAGCTGGTACATCCTCGGTTTCCTCTACTTTCTCATTTTGCAGTGGCTTCACAGCTTTATCGGTTTCTAGATTCTTTTCTTTCTCCTTTCCTTCATCTTCCTTTTCAGCACCATTGTCATCAGTCTCTCCAGCTGTGGCTGAAACAAAAGACGACTCCTCCGTGCTGTCATCACTGACCTTTACGAAGTTGCTGACTGAGGAAACATCGGCACTATCTTCCTTTGTGACGGAGGCCAAAGTTGTGCTGGTCTCCTGGTGGGCCGAAGTCTCAGAGGTTTCTTCCACTCTGGCTTCCTTTACAGCTTCAGGAGAAGAATCTCCAGGTCCTTTCTCTTTATCTTCAACCTGAACATTTAGTTCAGTTTCAGCAGTGCTTGTTTTGCCATCATCTTCATCTGACATCTTCACAGCTTCAGAGTACTGCTTCACAGTCTGAGTACTGTCAGCATCATCTGTCACACTCAGATCAGCTCTACCTTCAGTCATTGTGATGTCAGCCTCACCTCTTTCCAGCTCTCCATCAATGTTAGCCTTTGTTTTATGATTGTCTTCCAAACTTTTCACTTCATTATCCTTTCCTGGTTCTTTCGTAGCATCTTGTTCACCTTCATCCCCTTTCTGTGGAGAAGCGGCAACGGTGTCTGTCTGTCTCTCTTCCTCATCTCTAGCCAGAATGTTAGACACTGTGACTGGGATCTGGGTCCTCGTTTCCTCACTGTCTCCAGGCTGATCAGTGACCTTCTCCTCCACACGTAGCTCAATTACAGTAGATGGAGCGGTCTCCTCTGCATTCAGCTCACCACTGGCGGAGGCAAGGAACTGAGAATCGTGACTGGTGCCAGATATTGTTCTGATTATGCTTTCAGATCCTCCCTCAGAACCCATCCGCTGGTACTCGGTGAACATGCGGGCCAGATTGTCTTTGTGTTCCTCAAAGGTGACCTGATGAAACAGGCAGTAAGAGTGTTCGGAGGAATGTTAATTATGCAGAGCAGCAAAAAGTCAATTCTCAATCAGGACAAACTAAAAAGAAATTAGCAGCAATCAAGAACTTTAGGCGATCAAGCAATCAAAAAGTTTGGATGTTTAAATTCTCTCGTCAGTTTAAATGCACCTTACTGATGTAATTATTTTTCACATATGTGACCCTGGACCACAAAACCAGTCTTAAGTGTCAATTTTTCAAAATCTGAAAGCTGAATAAATAAGCTTTTCATTGACATATGGTCTATTAGGATAGGACAATATTTGGCTGAGATACAATACAACTATTGAGTTAACTATCAACAATACAACTATTTGAATATCTGGAATCTGAGGGTGCAAAAAAATCTAAATATTGAGAAAATCGCCTTTAAAGTTGTCCAAATGAAGTCCTTAGCAATGCATATTATTAATTTTTTATATATATCAAAAATTACGTTTTGATATATTTACGGTAGAAAATTTACAAAATATCTTCACTGAACATGATCTTTACTTAATATCCTAATGATTTTTGGCATAAAAGAAAAATCAATAATTGTGACCCATACAAAGTATTTTTGGCTATTGCTACAAATATACCCCAGCGACTTAAGACTGCTTTTGTGCTGCAGGGTCACATATTTGTCTATGATCCAAACAGATTTGAGGACAAGAACTAACTGAAGATGAGTTAAGATGAGTTGAGTTAAGATAAGATGAGATAAGAAAACACAATGCAGCGAAAAGAGAGATGGTCATGTGTGTTTAGGACTGCAATTAGCAGCAGACAGTGCATAGCATCTGCAGATACAGAAGTCTAAGCACACCTCAATTTATCAAAAGAACACAACAGATGGAAAGTCAAACTCACCACTGGGGAATCAAGAAACAACTTGCAGCTTCCACACCAATGCCAGCATTTGCATTTAGGCAAGAAAGCCTTATTATACGTAATTAATTGGCCGTTATTGTTCTAAATTAGCCTGCTACAAGCTTGGCCATTAATCTTCCATGTGGTCTGATGGGTAATCCATGGCTGTTTGCTCTGAACGGACAGCTCTGAAACGTATTGCTCGTTTTCTTTCTCTCCTGACTCTCTTCTTTGGAATAGGCAAGACCATTAGTCTGGGCTCAATACAGCATTTAACATTTAGCAATTAAATCCACACGGCGTATTTTCAGAAAAACATTGCCCTCTTTTGTGATTGGATACCAAATGAAGGGAGGAAGACATATGGATAAAACCACTCAATTTCGAATGAATGTCCAAACATATCTGGAGGGCCTGCGAGGCATTTCAGGATTTGTGAAAAATGAAAAGTTAGAACTCCTGTAAACCTCTGAGGGTTTAAAAGCTGCACATGAGGCCCCATGTTATCCTGTTAGGTATTATCTTCAAGAATCAGTAAGTATACCATATGCTGTTAAATGTTTAAAGAATTCCTCGTATGTACACTAAAAGCACCTCATTGTCTGGCAGCTTGCTACAATGCGTATCGTACCAATAAAGTATTACGTCATGTAAAAAGCATTACCTTACTATAACCAGCAAAGAGTACATGTGAGCCCTTGGCATGTTGTAGAGATAAAGTTACTCTGGAAAGGGGGTAACTATAGAAATGTGGTTTTGAAACATAGCCTGTATGCCACCGGGTGGGCTAGACATCAGTTTCAATCTGATCTAATTTAATTCCGGTCCGTACTCTATATGTGGGGCATGGAAAAACCTACAATTTATCTAAGAATACAGTACAGGTTTCATGACAATGAGCTTTGCATGACCAGGGTGTCTGGTTGCCAAATTATACAACTTAATGCAAATCCATTTTTCAAGTGACCTTTCAGAAATATATCAATAATTCATTGTATTTTTTTTAAAAAACCTGCAATATATAGTGGGTATAGTCCATATATAAATATCAGAATTTGCACTTCACCTTAATAAGTGACCCTGGAGCACAAAAGCAGTGTTAAGTCGCTGGGGTATATTTGTAGCAATAGCCAACAATACATTGTATGGGTCAAAATTATACATTTTTCTTTTATGCCAGAAATCATAAGGATATTAAGTAAAGATTAGTGGTCGACCGATACGTGTTTTTTGACAGCCGATGCCGATATCATGGAAAGCAGGGTGGCCGATATAAAGCAGATATAATTGTAGTTATTTTAATTAATATTCAAGAAATTTGAAATCATTTGAAAATGGATTAAAAAATAAATGTGTAAAATAAACATACTTATAATTTAGATGACAAAGTACTTTTCACAAAAAAATTAATATTTAATAAAAATATAATTAAAAAGGAAGTAAACACTGTAACCAACAGGGCATTCAGTATTCTGGGACGTTTGTGTGCATTGGGAATCATATTTTTTCAAATAAAGCCAAGGTAACACTCATTTTATATACAGCACACAGTGAAAATGACATGAATATGACAGTGGGCAAATGCATAAAGCTCAGCATAATTTGAAATCATGAGTTTAAAGTTTGTCGATCGCGTGTCTTCATTTTCCAGTGAAGCTGAACTCTCCTCCTGTTCGCATTCAATTCGCACAGACCGACCGTCATGCAGAGAACACGCGATCATGCAGGCCACATGCACACTTCACAAGATCTCACAACTGGATTCCACTAAGTTTGCAAGGTTTGTGAAATTAAATGTTCATTAGTCATTCAAAGATGTTTAAATTATATAAATGCGTATTTGCTGAATGCTTACGGCAAACGAGAAAGTATTATAATGTTTGCCTGTCTATTACTAATAATATAATACTTTGTATACATTTTAATTCCTTTGTTTAACCGTTCTATCTGATTATTAGACAGACTTCTATC